CCCACCAATAGAACAAAAGGTTAAATCATGTTAAATGGAGAAAGTCTGAGCTTTCTATGCTTCAATTCACTTGAAGCCACAATCAACACCCAATAAAGCATCATTAAAAAATGAAAATGATCATAGTGAGCACTGACAGAATAGTCCAAGAAAGCTATACTGCTAAGGTTGTGCCTTTCTCTTTTGAATATGCCTGTGGCTCCACACTTCGAGGTAAGCATTTACAGGTGTAAGTATGTTTAAAATGACTGCTATTTGAAATCATTTCAAATATCCCTTTGAAGGATTATGGCTGTTTGTTATTCCAAACTAGTCAGAAATGAAACACCTGTTTCTATTCTGAAAAATACAAACAATTATGATTTTGAAATTATACTTTAGTTTACAAACATACATATTCTATAATCCTTTGCGATTTACAGCTTCAGGAATCCAGTAGAAAGTGAGCTATGAGTCAGTTCTGACTTCACAATCATGAGGGCTTTTTGAGTTGTTACTTACACCTGTCCTATGGCATAATAGTTAAGCCTTTTGTTAACTAAAAGATTAGCATTTCAAACTCATCTGCTTAGTGGCTTTACAGGAAACAGTCATGACAGTCAGTTTATCTGAAAATTATATAAGTAAGTTCTACCCTGCTTCATAAAGTTGCTAGGAGGGAAAAGTGGCATGACATTAAATAACAACAAAAATTAATATTTTAGAGCTTCTGGGTGATAAAGACTTGAGCACTACGCTACTAACCCAAAGATTCTCTGATCAATCAATTAAGAAGTTTCTCAGAAGGACTGTCTGGTAATCTTCCTCTGAAAGGTTAGAAGCAGGTAAGTCTATGGCATCTGCTTAGTGGGAACTCTATGTCAGATCAACGTGATGACACCTGGTGTGATTTGGGATTAGTCATTACTTAACAGGGTAGTTGCCATCATCTGTGGTGATATTTGTGGTTTGTGAGGATATTGGCACAGCATATTGGCAACAAGTGTTTGCAGATGGAAACCTGCTTTAGGCAACTACCTGCTTTAAGCTTTTGTCAAACTTTGCTTTGAAGAATTCATGACTGTTCGTTGTCTCAAACCAGTCCAAAAATGAAGCACCTGTTTCTATTTCCAACAGTACAACCAGGCACATTTATGAGATTATAAATTATTTTCCAAATAAATTAAATGTTTTAATTCTGTAAGTTTTCAATTTCCCCATACAACTACAGTTTGAAAGGTGTTTTGATTTATTGTGATCTTGTTATTTCTGTGACTCTTACCTTTAGGCTAAAGGCTGTATCTTTTCTCTATATTCAATCTGCATGCAGAGCAAATCATTTGATTAGCTGGATTCTATGAGGATGAATGTGGCATCAGAATTGGAGGAAGGCTCATCAACAACCTGCATTAGGCAGGTAACACAATTTCGCTCACCAAAAGCAAGGTGGATCTGTGGTGCTTATTGCAGAAAGTCAAAGACTACAGCCTTCAATGCAGATTATATCTCAACATCAGGATAACAAAAATCCTCTCTACTGAACCAATAAAGAACATCACCATATGTGAAGAGATCGAAGTGGCTAATGATTTCACCTTGTTTGGATTTACAATCAGTAATAAGAGTTAAGCAACACTGGCAACAAGAGTTAAGAAATCAAAAGATGTGTTGCGATGGCGAAGTCTGTTGTCAATAACTCTCCAAAGTACTGAAAAGCTGGGATGCCAGTTAAGTGTCTTAATCAAATATAGTGTTTTCAATTACTTCCTAAGGAAGTTTGATGCTAATTAAGAGTCATAGTAGAAAAATCAATGGCGTAGAGCTGTGGTATTGGAGAAGAGTACTGAATATATTTTGGACCACCAAAGGAGCAAATAAGTAGGTATTGAAGAAGTTTAACCCAGGATGTTCCATAAAGGCAAGAATGGAGAAATTTCATCTCACATATATTGGACATGTTGTTAGGATGGCCCAGTCCTTAGTAAAGGATGCCATGCTTGATAGAGTGAAGGATCAGTAAAAGAGAAGAGGACATTCAACCAGATATATTGACACAGTTGGAGCAACGGACTTGAGCATATTAGAGATAGCAAGGATGACACAGAACAGGGCAGGGTTCAGGTGTGCTGATCGTAGGGTCGCTATGAGTCATGATTTATTTACGAATACCTTTCAACAATATAAAAATTTGCTCTAATATTTTTTTTTTATTTTATTATTCATGTGTGTACGTGTACCGTCAAATCAGATCTGACTGGTACAGGAGGAGATTGTCCCTCCTTCCCTGGCCGATTCCCTGGTGGATTCGAACCAAGCGCCTCTGGAATTGCAGTGCAGCTTCTTGCCACTAGGCCACCAGAGCTCCCCTCTAATATTTTAAGATTTAATTACATGAAATGAGACAGGAAATTAAGTTCAGATAGTAGTTTTTGTTTTGTTGTTTTGGTTTTGGTTTTTTAAATAGAAACATCATAGACATATCTAGAGGTCAGTAAGAAAAATGTATAGATTACTATTTTTTTAAGGGAGCTTTGACGGCCTAGTCTGTAAAGAGTTGTACAAATTCAAAAGGTCACTCCTCTCTGACCATTTTAATTCACCAGCAGGCAGAAAGATGAACTATCTCCTCCAGGGCTATTTACAATCTCCCCCAGTACTGTTTGAACCTAGAAAACTCAGTGGAGGGTCAGCTCTGGGTTCCTATGACTCTAAGACAATGAGCTCTTTTTCATCAAGCATTAAAGGTGGGGGGTTTTATGTGTGTATGTGGTATTTGAAATATTTTTAAAGTTTTCCCCTCCCCTTCTTAAATTGCATTTTAAAACCCTGCTCTGTGCTGTCTGTCCTTCAGTCAAGTTCTAGGGAGTTGCACTGCTAACCTAAAAGTGGTGCCTCTCAGGTGGTTTAAATCCACCTCTGTGGGAGGAAGATGAGAAATCTCCACTGCCTTTTGCAGCTTTTGAAAACTCAGTAGAGGGTCAGTTATGAATTGATTCTGACTCCACAGTAATGAGTTCAAGGAAATATAACTTTGAATAAACTTTGGCCCTACTAAACCTATATGCACACATAGATGATGAAACAGGAAATCACACACACAAATTTCTTAGTCAAAATGTTATAATACAGGCGCAGACGGGCGAGCCGGGCCGGATCGCACCTCTACAGCCTGGGGGACTGCCCAACCCCCAGCTATGTTTCACGCTGCAGAAAAGTTGGGGGAAAGGTCGTGTGTGCTCTGCCCCAAAGGCCGTGATTACAGCGTGCTGTATTTTGCACCAACGAAGAATATAGCTGCTCATTAAAACTGTTTGTTGTATTCACCAGCACTTGTGGAATGTGAAGGAAGACCATGATTCCTTTAACCGTGATACAAACTTGATGTGCAATCAGTAAAGAAAGAAATCCAAAGAGGGAAGAAGCTAAAGTGCACATTTTGCAAAGAGGCGCCACTGTGGGATGTGATGAAAAGCGATGCACGAAGAACTACCAGAAGAGCATGGTAGGGGCATAGATGTGATTTTGAAAGTTACTTTTTTGAAGAAATGTAAGGAAGCTGGTCTCCTTAATGACTTATTTGAGGAAGTATCAACTCAGCTGGGATAGATTCCAGGTGGTATTTTGGTTCTCAAGGACTAGTCTTAATTTTCTTGCACTTCAGTTTGAACTTTCTGTGAGTAATTGATTGTCCGCAGTAGGTCCCTGGTCTTATAAACATATTCCAGTACCCGATTCCTAACATTAGATTGGGATTAGAGAAAGTTCAAAACCCAAAGTTGTGGTTTAGTCAACATCATAGTCACTGAATGGTG